TAACATGGACAGCAAAGAATAAGGTCGTTGATGTCTTTTATACGAAACAACAGTATCAAACATACGCCCGTGTAAAAGACATAAACGAGTGCACGACTGTAGTCATACTTTGGTAATCGCTGCCGTTACGCAACCTATTTGTAACAATTCTAAGAAAATCTAATCATTGGAAGTCTAATTGAAGAGAACGTCTCCAGAAAGAACGATTAAAAAAGTTTACACTATAGATCAGTAATTTTTTCAACAGTACTAGAATAAAATAGTTTCTTAAATATACGCACAACATTTAGGAACTATGAATGTTTTTTTTTAGGATACTAAGTGTCGGGAGGAACAAATTGTGCCCTGGTTTTAAGCAACACGCCTTTCCATAGCAGTTCCAGTGCCACTCAGAGCTTTACATAACAAAAATCTAAGGGGCACTGCCACTGCGCCCGTCACTCTGAGACTAAAGTTGACAAATCCCATGTGCCTGTAATTTCACCAGCACCCTTATCCTTAAAACAGGAACGCCGTAATGATCACATTATGTAAGGTAGCAGTACTTCCCTGAACGAACTCTTTGATGAGGAGCTCTACTGCTATTAAATTAAACTCTTTTCAAAAAACATTCTAATTAACCAGCACAACCGTCGTTACTCTGTCATCATCTTGGACAACCTAATCCAGATTTGGTAACGACCAAAACAAATCAAGCCTCTCTATAAACAATGAAAATAATAAAAATGGCCGATAACGGAAACGTGAATAGTGGTAATACTGTGAATGAACTATTGTTCTGCAGTGCAGTTAATCTAGCCTTAGGTACGTATTCCAAAAGGTAGTAGATGGTTAGATAAGCTTTGCAGATGGGCTTGCATTTGTGACGCACATTTATGAGAAATGCGTATAGGGAAACAACGAACTTCCAAAGCTTTTATTTCTGACATAAAAAGTTTTTATGTCCTTGTGAATGATTTTTATGATACTAAGACTCAATTTATATTGCGGTGGAACAGAATGGGCGAATTTTTATATGCGCGAGTTGTATAGGCGCCACTTCGCCCGTCACCCTGAAACGTAATTTGATAAGTCCCATGTGCCTGTAGTTTCACCAACACCCTTGCCCTTCAAAACCGGAATGCTATTACTGCTTGGCAGTAGGGTGGCAGTACTTTCCTGGACAACCTCTTTAACAAGGGGCTCTAATGCTACTAAATTCTTACTACTGCTAATTACCTCGTACCCTTGGTATAATGAAGCAACGTCAAGAGTGAAGTTTTATCACATGAAAGTCAAATACTACGAACTACATAAAACACATCAACGTAATTGTGTCAAAAAATTATCGACAAATTTCGTTCCTGTAAACTTCTATCCTGAAAAGTTGTCTTTATGGCGACATATTACGCCAAAAGTGCGACTACGAAAAAAAAAACTTTTTCGCCTTACTAGCTCCGAAAGGCTTCCTTTGTCATTACAAATCTGCGCGCAAAAGCATTTCTTCCAAAAAGGAAAAGGATTTTGAAATACAAATTTGATGATTTACTTTTTCTTTCAATGAAAAAAAAAACATAATGATACGTTCAACTACGCGATTTGACGTGCATTATTTATGCAATATAAATCCGTTGGTAGACATTAAATTGACAATGATAACTAATATTGTTTAATAAATTAACAGTTCTACTGTTTTTCTTCCATCTGCCATTGTCCTCGCTATAGTGAGATAAAAAATTTTTTTTTCGCTCGGCAGCAAAGATGTTTTGCGTCTCGTCTCTTCAAACTCTAACAAGCACTCGCGTCAAACAAAAACTTTGCAGCCTTGCATAACAAATAACTATTATTCAAGTTTTAAAATTTCACCCGAGAAATATGCGATTTCCAACAATTACTTATGTGACTTTCGTTTTTATGAATTTATAGAACTAATATGCTATCATAAAATTAATTTTATATGGCTCAATAATGCAACTATAATGGAATGCTTATAATGTAAGGCGTGTGCGAAGTAGTAGTTTTCAATTTTCCACCTATCGGTTCTTGTTATTTATGGTAATTACATATTATTATCTACACTGTTAATGAAATTGATTCAGTCCAGAACTGCGCGATTCGTGAGATAGAGTTGATTAATACTTTCTGACACATATTTGTGGCGCTGACATAAGTACTATCTACTACAAAAGGGCATAGATATCCCCTGAAAATATTCTATATTTAAAATTTTAATTTTATAAAAATTTCAGGTGTTAAATTTTATCTTCGAATTTTAGGTTTTAGCGATTATTACACATAGGAAATCAAATTATTTTTTCGCAGCTAAATCGCGAACATTTGTTTTTTTCAAACCAATCAACGTTTCGGACCCTTTACAGGTTCCATGGTTACAGCTGACTAAGATTAATATTTAGAGAATAAGGATTTCGTAATCTTTAACATCTTTTCAAAATATTTTCAATATTTGCATCATTTGTATTAGAAAACACAATTTTCAAACGCAAAAAATATTCTTACTCCATAATCGTTTCTCCAAAAAGTTAGTCACCGGGGATGTACCACGTCTGGTGTAAACGTAATATATAACGCAAAATATCGGTAATGATATCGGTCCTCTACTCACAAACTCCCGTATTTATCCCGTATTATTTTTGTCAAAGTTTTGTAAAAAAATCATCGATTGAATTAATCTTTTTTGTTTAGCTAAAAAAATATTGGCTAACACTAGTTGCTATTAGTTCGCCAGGAGAGCAAGGATGAAAAAAAAATGTACTAGTACTAATAGTAGTAGTATTCTAATTACAAAAACAAAAAGAATGTTCTAGTCTTATTAGATAAGCATGTTCTTTATTTTTATAATGTTATTATATATCTATATAACTTCAAATGATATTTTTAAAATGAAGATTCAATGTTATTATTGTGAGGTACCTATCAGTAACAAAGATATTTAAGTTATTCAATACGTGAAGAAAAACTTTTAAATAAGTTTAATAAAAAGTATTTTTTTAGTTAAACGTGAACTGGCGTGTCGTTCAATCTTACTCTTAAAAAGAAATTGTTTTTTAATATTATCCTTACTCGTATCACCTGGAAGTTGTATTGCCTATGATTTAATGGTCAAGTTCAAGGAGCAGGACTGATGCTTACGCGTGCTCGTAACGATACTTGCAGTTACGAATTACAAAGCCGTCAGGGTTCTGAATGCAAAGTGTGAAATATCGATAACTCGCAGTGCGCTCGCTTTGTTGCGCCCATGTCGCGGTATTGCGTAAACGAAGGAGCGTGCGACAGATTCCACGGCTCCCGTTAGCGTACCATCTTTAGCTCAATATAGTCATTAAAAATAACAGGGATGCCGTTAGTTTTTGCTTGTAGAATCACACTAACGACTGCTACCTGAACTTTATGGAGTAGTTACTCGTATTATGAAATTTAAGTTTGTACCTGCAACACGAGGCATAAATGGTACAAATAAGAGCCTTAATGTAATAATAGATACAAATAAGAAGTCGGTTATTCTAAGGTACACTTTAATTTATTTTTAGTTGACGACTGATTAAGTTATTCGTTTTAATTCTTGATGATTAGGTACATTTAATAAAAATATATATTTATTGAAATAAAAGTTAAATAAAAAAAGTGCAAAGCCTTTTTAACAGTAGATCAGTGTTGTAAGCGCCGTTGAGTTGAAAATTACGTTGCGTTACTTAAAAACTTACATTTTCATCCAAGTATTAACAATATATGTTAGACGCCTAAATCCTAAAAAAATATGATACTCAAGAAAAATTAAGCTTTAACCTACTGGTTGATATATTGATAGATTTAATTTTGTTTTTCACCAACTCTGTGTTACTATAATATCTAATTTGGGTGCGTTCATAAACTGCTTAGAATTTAAGATAGTTGAATTCACAAAATCTCTTCCACTTTGTCAAAGTAGAAAAGTAACCATCTGGCAACACTGCAGTAGCTTGTGTCTCATGGGATTCGCTCTGGGCCTTTTGGAGGGAAAAGTGTCGTTTTTATTTTGACTTTCAATTATTTTGTGAAATCTAGTTTAAAGTGGAATAGGATAGTGCTATTGTGCCTTAATCGAAGATTAAAACGCGAAATTATACTAATCTCGAACTAAAATACCCGTATCGGCCCGTTGTAAGGAATCCCGAGTCAATCCAAGCACGCCGCCTCAAATTGCCTATCCTCTTTGTGGTGGCCATATTTACAGAAATATAATTAAACGTTTATGTTTTCGGCTTAAGGACTTTGTTTCCATGGCCAGAAATCAATTTAAAAAAAAATTGTGTCTCATGTGTCTAATACCTATTATATATTATATTATAAACAGATTTAACTTTCTTTTGAACGCCCACGTATAGAGCAAAATTTAAATACAGAAGAAAGTTCGAATTTCGTTACGTTACGGCTGGTGAACGGACATAAGTATTTTAGAACATGCACAAAAACAAGACAAAATCAGCCCTTGTGATTTTGTCGTCTAGTCCGAGTAGTAAGATTATAACACTATGAACTTACAAGATCCGCACTTAGCAAATAACACTACCCGAGCACATATCGCTAAGTATCGTTAAGTATCATTTTAAATCAGATACGAATGTGTTGAATTTTTGTATCTTGTAGAACTCCGATGACTATGCAATGACATTAATTGATTGATAAAAAAAATTAAATAACCCATTTTCTTTGTAAATAAATCAAAATCCTAAAATGATGATTCGATTTCACGTTTCTACATTGATTGCTTTTATTTTTTAAATATTTCAGTATATGTGTCTTTATTTTATATTATCTTCCTAATTATTTATTTTTTTAGGTAAATTATATGAAATAAATACTTGTCTGGGTAAGCACGAACCTTATTTATATTACAAACCCTAATAAGAAATATAATTTAGTATTAATTCTGCTGATAATTGTAACGTAGACAGTACGAAATATGATCGGTCATTATCATATTATTTATATCAAAATAACTATCATAATATAGTATCACTTACCATTATCCGCATCTATTTCAGCGATCGGTGACACGGACGTTGCCCGAAAAATAAGTCCAATAACAAATAAATATTCGCGACAAAACATTATACTTTAAAAAATTATACAAAAATGTCACATTTGTTATATTTAAAAAAATCCAATTTAAGGAAAATCCACAATTTTTCTGTTTTTATTTTTAAATTAAAAAACGCTTTGTGTACCCGCGACCGCGTAGCGCGGGAGTGGGTCAGATGCGTGCGAACGTGCGCCTGCGCCTGCACTGGCGACTGAATGACTATCTACTTTAGTGGATGCTTCTACAACGTGAAGCTACATTTTTGGGTGTTGATACGCAGTTATTAGCGTTCAGCCCATCTCTGGTTCAGCCCCTTTCAACTGCAATTTGGAGACGAGAATTTCAAATTGATCTCGTAATCTGTAGATGTTGACGACACCTATTTACTTAGCCACTGCTTTTTTAAATATAACATCAAGTGACGGGATGAACGAGTCGTACGCCTGTTAGTAAGCTACACGCCTGTAACTAGCAGTTGCAGTGCCACTCAGAGCTTTAAATCGCTGAAATCTGAGGAGCACTGCCACTGCGCTCGTCACCCTGAGACATAAGTCGACAAGCCCCATGTGCCTGTAATTACACCAGCACCCTTACCCTTCCAAACCGGAACGCAGTAACGCAGTAATAGGTAAGATGGCAGTACTTCCCTAAAATTGTATAGCTTTGTATAGCTTGTACGTTTGCATACAATATAGCGCGTCGAGATTCAATTCAATTAAATTCAATTATTTATTAATTAACAATATACATAATTGTGTTCAAATGTCATGGATGTAAATTTAAGAATCATAGAAATTACTTAATTAAAATACAGAGTCAAATAATTTATTACAAATTAAAATAAAATAGTATATAAAATTATTATGAAACAAAATGAACAATTTGAAACAATCAATTAAAAAATTAATATAAAAAGCAACAATTTATAAAGTGTACAATAAATTAAAATTTTTCTACGAAGTAACAGCATTTTTTTAATAATAAATCCCCCAGAGACTCAAGATCACTTCGCTTTATTAGACTTTACAATACATCGAGTAGGTACAGAACCAGAAATAGAGACGAAATGAGGGCCATACATTCCTGGTAACTCACCAGTCAAATGGGGAGCTGTTCTAATCGGTGGTAGGAAAACCAGCAAAACATCTAATTATAAAACAAACGGAATCACATTACATTGGTAATTATATTTTATATTAAACATGTAATTATATACTCGAAATTACAATACCTAATAATAATAACCTACGAATGTTTAATTATTTCTTTTTTTAGCTTGTGCTACGTAATCGTAGCTACCGGCCAGACCTGATCAATATTTATGAAAACAAAGAATGTAAGGAAGATAATATATTACATTTATTTCATACATTTCCCTTAACAACCCCAACAATTTCGAAGATATATTTACAAACAAAGAGCCGATGCTATCGCGCATGCGCGCATCCGAAACGCCCTGCCAGTGCTCTGTGGAGGCTCACCAAGAATACACACAACATGCAAATCTATTAAAACATAAATCAAAAGGCTGGTGGAAACCATGGGGAACCAGTTTAAAAACGTGGCAGTCATGGGCTGCCTTAAAACATTATTATTTGTCTTTAGCATTGTCTTCTGGGTGAGTATTGATTTACCTAGCAATGCTTATTTTGTAAATGCTTTACTGAAAGGACATTTTGAACTTTTGATAGTAAAATGTGACTACATTTTCACGTTGTATAATAATAAGAGCCTTTGAAATCGAAATAAACAATGTTTTAAAATTAATTAGACATAAGGTTTTCACGCTATTTTAATCTTCGTTGTAAATAAAATCTGCCTCACTTACAAATTACGTGCATATTTCATTTTATTTTTTATGATAACAAGTGACAAGACGAACAAGTCAAGCGCATGGTAAAAAGCGTCACGCCTGTCCATAACAGTTGCAGTACCTCTCAAAGCTTTAAATCGCAAAGGCGCACTCCCTGTACCCTTCACCCTGAGACAAGTTGACAAGTCCCATGTGCCGGTAATTTCACCAGCACTCTTACTCTTCAAAATCTTTTATCTTAATGTATAAAACTATTAATTACATAGGACCATTGACAAATTGTATATTTTTATCATTTCCAGTTGACAGGCTTGATTCTTCTAACTATGGGTTTATGGGCCCTGTTCGATATGCATAAATACATGGACTTGTCAATGGAATTCTCCGATACGGCGCCGTATGTCTTAATTGGCATTGCTGGTCTTATCATCCTGATCAGCTCTACTGCTTTCTCCTGCATCATTAAAGGACAACCTGTCCTGCTGTATATCGTAAGTCCATTTTCCGCCTGTTGCTTAGTGAGCATAGTGGGAACAGAGCTGACAACGGTAACTATCGCAAACTCGATTTTTTCCCGAAATAACGTTTGTTCGAATTTTCATTACACCGAAAACCGAATTATAACGAAACGTTGTTATTTCAGGAAATATTGGATGTTTATCACAAAGACACGATTGGGTTCGGTTAGGTTAGCTTAAGTTAGGTTTAAAAGAAAACACATTTTCCTCTCAAAATTACTTTCGAGGTTATGAAAATTACAGCAAACGTTATTTCTGCAAAATGTCATTTCGGCCTACTGATAGCTAATCGCTGACAACATACTTTAACTTTATACCGGGTCAAAGTAATATTTATTCTTTGTTTTTATAAAACTCTATTAGTGTGCATTTTGTCATGGTAAAACGTCTTCATATTGCCGCTATACTCCCAATCCTTGTTTTTTATCTTACCTGCACTTTTTAAATAAAATTACTACTTTAACATGCGGTTCCTTTGTGATTTTTTAAGTTCTTTAGTCTGATAGAAAGCAGTAAGTGCGGAATATGTAGATTTAGAGTTACTTAGTGCTAAGATGCTTGGGTTTAAACAGTTCGGAAAATAAAATAAATCACTAATTTGTTTTATATAATCTTTTTCAGATATTTTTTTTCAGACACATTAAACTCAATAAAAGCACTATAGTCCATTTGTTTAGGTACTTAACTAAATGTAGACAATCTTAAGATGTCTATTTAATGAAATATACGTTTATAAAGTGATTTTTACTTACCTTCAAATACAAAGTATAAATACTTAGCTTCATATGAAATTGCATAGATTTTTAATACCTATTGATTTGTAAACTATGTTTCAATGAAAAGATATATTAAGATTCTTAGGTTTTCGCGATTGTTACACATAGGAAATGAAACTATTTTTCCGGATTTAAATCGTGTATATTTGTTTTTTCAAACAAACCGACGTTTCGGGCCCTTTACTTACAGGTCCCATGGTCACGGTTGACTGTCAGTTAGTCAGTCGTTTGAAAAAACAAATATACACGATTTAAATCTGGAAAAATAGTTTCATTTCCTATGTATCAAGATTGTTTACATTTAATTTCATATTTAGTTAAGTGCCTAAACAAATGGACTATAAACGCTTGTGGAATAATAAAACACTCCTGTAAATTTCAAATATTTACGTAGAATATTTAAAACTCTATCCTGAAAACTGGTCATTTTGCAGATATCACCTTATTACATCAAGGATGCGAAATAAGACAGGGTTTACATTGACCTACCAAAAGGTCAATGGGGGTTTAACACCAAAACGTCATCAGTAAAGTTGCAATGGTTATCTAAAACTTTGACAGCAATATATTGTATTTAATAATATCCTATACAAGTCTACCTATATTTGTAGGTTATAAAGCCATTCGCTACCCTGTTTTCAGAACAGTCAGGTCATATACTCACTTAAGATCTCTAAGAGTTTACTTATGGTTTTATTAATTTATTACTATACCTAGACCCTCCTGAACGGTTGCGAAGACAGGTTTCAAGTAAGACGGTGTGGCAGTTTACCTGCCGATATAATTGGTTACTATAATAAGCCAGAAGTCTAGATGTAAAATGGCATTCTGTACCTACTTACCTGTAAAAGATATTGATATTTCAAGTTATTAAAACACTTACCTACATAAAAATTAACAACTAATTGTTTTTACATACTTACCTATTTAATTTAATACAGTTGTAATTCATGTTATTCTTTGTAAATTTAGTTTGTATTGTGTTCTGTGTAGTGTTACTTAATAAACTTTTATCTTACATTATTAATAATAATAACGCCGGGGGACACCGCCTTTCCCTTTTAAAAGTTCAAAATTATGTTTTAGCACAGAACACTATTACTCTTCGCGAGTCTTTTAGGCCTTGTGAGAGGCGAGAGCAACCCAATCAACCCACCCGAGTTTTAATCAGAATTTTACCCAACGCGTTTGGTATTAATCCATTTCTGCCCAAAATTGTGGGCGGAAATGACTAATACAGAATTTGTTACATAATTATTACTTATAACAAATTTCGTTGAAAAAATACACACAATACCCACCTTGCAATCCTGTGAATTTTCACTACTAGGATGGACATTACTTGTACACATTGACTTCTTGTACATTACTATTTTTATGAAGATCGATCTACGATCTAACGATTTTTGGATCGATTTCTTTCAATGCTATTTTCAAACGGAATCGATTCAATAGAAACGTTTACGATAAAACTCGGTCGCTTGCCCATCTCGAGACGACACGAGAGTCTAAATTAGAAAGATATGGATATATATTCAAGATAATAATAATAATAATTTTCCTGTCAGTCAATCGCCTGGTCTCACTAGGGAATTTCCTGTAGTATGAAGTACCCGAGCAACGGAGTTGGGAATCAAACCCAGTCGCATCCAGCGCCCACAGTGCAAATTATTAGTACCTACCACTCCAGTCGTCTTAATTAATGCAATAAGCCACAATGTAGAGAAACGTTTTATGAATTTTAATTTAATACGATTACCTCCTACTCTGTAATAACAAAAACATTTATATGTGTAGTGTATGTCGTTTTATTGTGGGTACTGGGTATTATGGAATAAAAAAATGTTTACCTATATAAAAAAATGTATGTTAGTAGTAGTAGTAAAAATTTGTGTTTTTTTTTTTATAATACCAAGTGACGGGACGAACAAGTCGTGTGGTAAGCGACACACTTATACAGTTGCAGTGCCACTCAAACCTTTATATCGCAAAGATCTTAGGGGCACTGCCACTGCTCTCGTCACACTGAGACATAAGTTGAAAAGTTCCATGCGCCTGTAATTTTACCAGCACCTCCGAACCGGAACGCAGTAAAGCTCACATACTAATATGTATAAATATTGGCGGCAGAAATAGGTACGGTGGCAGTACTTCCCTGGACGAACTCTTTCACAAGGAGCTCTATTGCTACTGCATAGAATTTACTGTTGATAGCACAGAGAACGATTTCAGTCTTATTCCTTATAACTGACCGTGCAGGGTTTGCGCACGATTGTGACGATATTTATTTTGAAAGAAAGTTTGACAATGACCTAATTACCTAGGTCATTACCTAATTAGGTCATTGTCAAACACAATTAAAAATATGTTTAATATGAAATCTTTATTACCCTTTTACATGTTAACCCCTAGATTTTCTATAATTTGTTACATAAAATAAAAAAGCGATAGATCAAACCATTAGGCTATACCACGGTTTCATCTTAACTAAATAGATTTAATTATTTAATTATTATTACAGTATTACCTACCGTAGTAGTTCTACATAAAGTTTAGTTTGTTCCTCAACATCAACAGTACGGCGGTTTCCTGGCATGCATCTTCGTGATGGACGTGGGTGTGGGAGCATCAGTTATGTGCTACCGCGACACCTTCGCCAAAGCCTTGCACGATGGACTTACAGAGACTCTCACCGCCTACGACCCTCGCAAGGCTAACTTCGACTTTGTGCAGTCAAATGTATGTAAATATTTTATTTATGTTTTTTTATGATAGGTGACCAAGTGACGGAACGAACAATTTGGCGCCTAATGTCAAGAGACTCGCCTGTCCATAGCAGCTGCAGTGTCACTCAGAACTTTAAATCTCAAAGCTCTGAGGAGCTGCCACTGAGCCCATCACCCTGAGATATAAGTTGACAAATCCCATGTGCCTGTAATTCCACCAGCACCCATAAGCTCAAGCCACACAGAGGCGGCCGCGGAAGAGTTCCGGGCGCAGGAATTTTTGTAATGTACGAGTTCATATGAACCCTGCCACACTAAAACGCGCGGCGGCCGAAAACACTTCCCGCGCCCGGAACTCTGTGTGGTCAGAGCATTGCCGTTGAAAACCGGAACTCAGTAATGCTCACAATACTGCTTGGCGGCAGAAATAGGTACATAAATAGGAAATACGCTACGTACTCTATAAATCGGTAGAATAATCAGAGACATTCCACAAACCGCAGTACTAGTAACCCTTACGATGGCGAGGAAAGTTTCACGAGAAACGAGCGAGAAGATACTTTAAGAAAATTAAAACGCACATTGCCTATACTCAGCAGACGACATCTTTGGGCTGACGAAGATAATTCTCAATGGTAACAGTTTGTTTTGGTGATATCATATCAGTGTAATCTTAAAATATAGAATGTAACAAAAAGGTTTAACCGCATTGTAGCTGTAATTGTACTAATGATACCAAATAAAATATTTATGACATACACAAAAAAATGTTATTCAGACGCAAAATGTGCGGGTCATTCGTAAATTTCTATGCAAAGACAAGATTGTTTTACGACATAGTTTCCCAAATTGGTCACTACCATCCTCCAATGGGCGCTGAAGAGTCCTAGGCGGGCAGTAGGGTCCTCGGAAACAATTGGGGGGCGTTGATGCTGTCCAGGGGGTGCTACCGCATTTGAAAAAAACAAACTTGAATTGTCTATAAAAACTACACTGCAAACATATAACTTTTTCCTTGTGATTTTTTAATATAAATATATAAAAATAATATAAAAAATATGTGTTTTCAATTATTTTTTGTGGTGGTAGGCGTTGAAATTTTTTTATTTTGCCAAAGTGGACGTTGAACCAAAAAGTCTGGGAACCTAAAACATACTTTTGTTACACTTGACCTCTATTATCTATATTTTCTTCAGTTAACTCTTTGCCTCTAACGTGAAAATAAAGGTGAAAAGGTGCCTAGCTACTTGTAAATGTTGCAAGACTCGAACTTCCAGTCTTGCAACATTTTCAAAAAAGTTTATAAACAATTTAACTCCAACCTGTAATTATCACAGAACATCTTCTTCTTCTTTATAATGTTGTAGCTCCATGGATGATTCCGCCAATGTCAAGTTAAAGAAGACGTGCGTTTTTTACTCAGAATTTGACCAGTGAATTTCGATAGAATTCGCTGAGAGAACCTACAACAACAGCCGACATACGCGGACTATTACAGAAACAAATTGTTACTTATAATTATTAATACAAAGATCGAACACTCAGAAAAAACACTCAGAAAAAATTCCTTCGATCCGGTCGGATTCGAACCGACGTCCTCTTGCATAGCGACTAAAAAGTCGTTGAAAGACCAAGTACAAAGACACGGCGCAAGCACATAGAAAAATTCGTGAGGTCCGTTGGTTCGTTCCGTGGCTTAGTTCGTATAGCGTCTGGCACGGTATGCAAGAGGACGTCGGTTCGAATCCGACCGGATCGAAGGAATTTTTTCTGAGTATTTTTCTGAGTGTTCGATCTTTGTATTAATAATTATAACAAACTAGTGGAGTAATTTCACAAAAAATAATTGAATATCAATTCAATAAAAATTAAATTAAATTGTTACTTTTCATAAATTGACACAGGATACACACAAATAAAAGGGGGAGTGGACTAACGTTAGGAGGAAGTTGATATTACCGGGACGGGAGATTTTAGGGGGAGGATATCATACAGAGGAGTGACGATACGGTTGCAGGCAATAAACCGGTGCTCGAGGGTACCTTCTGCCAGACCACACTCGCACAGGGAGTGGTCTCGAACACGAATCTTAGCCAAGAACACGGGAGTACATATGTGTGCTAAGCGTAGGAGAATAATTACAGAAATAATATTTTTCGCGATCGATTTCCTAGTTATCACAGAACAAGTAATAGTGCCTTTGGGTAGCCTTTATAAATCTGGCAATGATCCATTGTATGCTACCTATACCTAATAGATGCACTGCTGCGGCGTGAACAACTACACGGACTGGATGAGGTTGTCGCCACAGCGCGTCATTCCCATCTCTTGCTGCCTCGACCCCAACCGCTGCGTTACCGCCAACTACAGCGATGTCTATCAGAGGGTAAGTAACCATGGATAATTGCTGAACGTAAATTTGACGTCATTTTAAAGTAATAAATTTTACTTTAGTTGCGCTTCTACGTCTTTTTTTATACAACGAATAAGTGCGCATTTGACCTCCATCTCACCTGAAAGTGATGAAGAGATCGACGACGATACACACGTAACTAATGCCTGCTCACTCTCGTTTTGAAAAGGTCCAAGTTATAGCGTTCGGGGAATAAGTCCGCAGATAGTGAATAATAATAAACGTATTTCTAGACACTCGTTATGATAGTCTACCCATATATGGTAGATATGATAGTAACCCAATGCCGTTGCTATTAAAAAGGAAGGAATAGTAGGACAACTATCTGCGGAAAGTACGAGTAAAGGTCTCAAACAAAAGTGGCAAAAGCGAAAACCAAAGCTTAACTAAAGTAAACTTTTCGTGTATAAAATGATGTGAAATTTGTGCTTGTGAAATTAAATCGACATAGGAAATCATTAAAAGTACATAATGTTCCACTTGTCATATTCTCGTATTCGTACTTCAAGTAATCCAAGTTAATCGATTAACCGATTAAATTTATTGAAATCGGTTACCGGCAAGTGCGCGAAACCGGATTCATCCCCAACTTTGCCACCTTTAGAGGCAGAAAATTTTCATAAAATTTAAATGGGACCAATACTGAGGTGCGTACATACAAAAAAGTACAATCGAATTGAGAACCTCCTCCTTTTTGAAATCGGTTAAAAAAATACCCGTTCTAGAGATCAAATTTGGTTAAACAAAACTTACTTTTGCTGTTACAAAATGTCACCTCATACAAACCGTCGGTGTCCATCGACGAACTGAATTATGTCAATACGTTGTTGATATTTCTCTATGGAGAAGTGGTGGTCTACAACTACACCGAATGCACTTGGGAATCGTACTGTAAAGCCCGTAATTGGTTTTTTGAGACCCATAAAGCGAAACGGGGTACCCCGTACTATCTTATTCTGTTATTTAATTATTGGGCGCGTTCCCATTATATCGTGACGACATATAGTCGTGAAGTTTAAAGTGTCGTGGCATGTGTATTTAAATCAAGTTGTTGACATATAGTACAACACGAGTAACTTGTCGTTCACAATCTAGTGGGAACAGCTAGTCACAATATTTCAAAGGTAAAATAAACGTTCACGACACAGTCGTGATATGGGAACAGAATAGACGCGACAGTCGTCCAACGATAAATAAAACATCACGACTTAATAGGAACGCGCCCTTACAGTTAACGCCGTTACTGGCCATCTGTCCATGAACGGGTAATAACATTAAAAATATTATTTAATGAAAATATACATTTATTAACTATGTCTACAAGTTAGATTTTTTTAATTACAGGGATGTTACGAAATGATCCTGGAGTATTTAGAAAAGAACAGAGATATGCTGCTTGGCCTCGCTATTGGCACTGCTGTACTCCCGCTAGTAGGAGCAATACTCTCCTGTTGGCTTGCCAGCTACATAAAAAAGTCCAAATATGACGCTATGAACTAACTCTGCAAAATAGTCAAGACGAAAGAACTACTTTTCAAACTGTTCTAACGGCAATACGCATATTAGATAATCTCAAAGTATTTAAAATCTCAATTTTATATAGAGTTTAGGTCCCTTTTCCTGTGACTGATTTATACCTGTTACGAAATTATAAAACTCAATTAGGATGTAATTGTATTTACTAGTATCTAAATTCTAATTATAGCAACACAGTCAGCATCAAAATTAACTGAGTGAGTACGTAAACCAAAATATCTTATCACTTCCACTTTCCACTGTATCTTTCTAATGTATATATGTATGATGCAAACCTCTTGAATGCGAACTTTTGTTTCAAACTGAAAACAACGGAAAATGTTCCAATAAATAGTTTATTTATATTAAATGATTATATATTTTGAGTATACCAAACATATATGTACCTATATATAAAAATCATTGATTTTTATTAGGCTGGACTAATATTGTCCTTTTTTCTATGTCATCCTGACGAATTTGACCGAATCAATCTGACCAATGGGATAAAACCCCGTCTGCCAGACCAGTCTAACCACCAATCTGATCAACGAGAAACACTGAGGTTGATTGCTTATATTTACTACATTTTGAAGCTGACTGTTTTTTTTAATTCTTCTATTAATATTTACATTGGAAATATTATATTATTTTGTATTAAATAAAATTATTAAATGTTAACACAAGCATCCAAAAATGGTTTATTAATTTTACATATTATATTACTAGCTGGTGGGCACGACTTCGTCTGCGTAGAATAAGTACTTCAAGTAGCCTACTATACTATACTTAGGGTCGTATTCTAGAACTCTACTCAATGCTCAAGTTAGGATTGCACTGGAAACACAAGCACTGGAAATACCACCCTAATGGCAGGGACTCGAGTATGATTTTGAGCGCTTTAAACCATACTTAAATCCTGACTTGAGCATTGAGGAGAGTTCTAGAATACGACCCTAATTATCATAGTTTTATTGGTTCTCCAGACTAACTTTCATCCCCTATTTTAGCCCCAAGATGATAGATAGATGTATTTTTGTAAAAAAGGACAAAAAGGACCTTCTAGACCCATCTATCTCTATAGGTACCAAAATAGACAAAAATTGGTTCATCAGTTTAGGCGTGAAAACGTGGCAGACAGGTAAGAGTTACCATAGCATTTATATTATTGTTTGAATGTATCACGCGTGAAATGTAAAAACATGTTTGCTTTGTCGTTTTTTAAAAACATGTAGAAAAGGAAAATAATTATATAATTTGTGCCAAAAAATAAAAATAAAACTACAGATTCCAAAAATTGTATTATCTTTATTGTACATTAATTACAATTGCACATTAAAGTCAATCAATCACATTTATAAACCAACAGTCTTTCAACAATATGTACCTACAGTCCAACAAGTCAACAACATTATAATGCATTCAACTTGTTTGCAATGCAAAATTACACCAAATATACATTATTGCTAATATGTAATATAATAATCTATGATCTACATGCACCAAATTCAAATCAGGTGTATGTGTGTCTACAGCATGTATCCCCTCTTCTAATTATTAAAGGACATGACAAAATATAAAAATATATTACTTACAATTTCACTACCACCTCAACTATGCACTTCTAAAGAAACATCTCCAGTCAATCTCAACATTGGTCAACCCTACCAAATGTTTCTCCATGATACGGCCCTGACACTGTTTGATATGTCCCACACTTGATCCAGTTAAGAAATATATATACTTTTGTGAGGTAGACTAAATTGACATAGTACAGGGGGAAAACACGACACATAAAAGACATACTTTAATAATTTACTCACTATCAGAACTATTCTTATCTTCCTTAGCCTCTACAGGGGTTTCTTGCTTATAATGTCTGTATTCCGGTTTGAGCTCCCACATGTTCTTGTGTGGATTCTTCAAGTTGTAGTTACATACCTCTTTCAATATCTCCTTCAGGTACACTATAGGCTGCCTTGTAATCTGAATAGAAAAAAGAGTATATAATATTGTTTATTATTCAACAAAAACAGTCTCTCTATTTGTGCTTTATTTCTCAAAAATTATAGTTATTTAATAAGGAGCTTCAGAACAAAAATAGATAAAACCAAGAAATTTATCTATTTTTGTTCAGATCTGTGCATTTGAAATGAATTTTTAAAGGGGATTTAGTGGTTGATGTTCAGGTTCGATCAATTATTTATCATAGAAATGAACAAAAACTACCATTTGGCATCAAAAAAGGAGAACAAGTCACAATTGGTTGTTGTTCTGATACTCCTCAAATACAAACTGTTGTCATGCAATTTAATAGTAACAACTGAGGAAAAATTTAAATGGTACCAAATAATATTGAAGCTACAGCAGCACTCTTATATGTATAAAATACTTATATAAAAAATATCCATAAATTATTCATATAATTACTGGATATTTTTCTGTAAAAACAAGGATATAAGTAGTATGTACCTTTTGCAAGTCCTTGATATTGTAGTACTGATGCTTTTCAAATGCAGCAAACAGCATGTTGAGAACTGCATCTTTGTCATCACGAGCTTTCTTACCTTCTGCCTTTTTGCGTCCTTGATAGTCTATCTAAAACCATTCACACATAAACACATTTATTTCATATATACAAAATGTACCCTTTCTTTTGAAATTGCATAATAATGTGAACCAAATACTGAGCAGAAATATTGCTTAGAAAGGTAAATTTTAACATAAAATTTCCATACATAATGCAACAAATACTTGCAAATTGGGTGTGAAATCAAATGGTAACTAAATTGGAATTAATTAATTAGGTTATTATTTGGCTAGTATTACAACAAAATAAGGACATCTTACATTATGTGGATGATCAGACACGGGTTTGAAGCATTGCACAATTCCGTCCAACTGTTGTACTTGACGTTGAGGCATTGAAGCTTTTCTTATGGATTCTGATTTAAGTCTGTAGTATGTATTATCAGCATATGGCCTACATTCTAGCTTTTGAACTATCCGCCCTTCCATGTAAAGCTTTTCTGACTCTGGAACCACTGCATCAGTGTTTGATGCTAAAAGAACAAACGAATAGCATCGATATATGCAGGTTTCCAGGGCTATAAAGACTTTTACCAGGGCTATATTACTTAAGAAAAGTTTGTGAAGGTTACTTACGAACAACATGAGAAAACACCCCCAAAGACTGTCGAGTAACAGTTGACACGTCAAGGCGGTGTTCTTTCGGTATGCTCTGTTCACCGGGGTCTTTCAAACACAATACAGCTTCAGACAGCGAGAGCTGCACCTGAGCTCGTTGACCAGGCACGCGCGATATCTTCAACTTGCCTACTTCAATGTTTCCAGGAGCCTTTTCCCATTTATTTGCAATGTATTTAGGTACTTTTACAAGCCACACTCCTCGCCCAGTATTAGATAAATCTAACTCGCGATCGATGTGCGGGACATTGTTTGGGGCACTCATTGTTCAATAAAGTAATTAAACTATCTGTTTACAATATTACGTCTCAAGTGCGTTGCACTTCCTTCCTCTATATTCACGTGATTAATTAGAGTAACGACGACAGATTCCACACAAAATACGAATAAAAAATACTCTTCCCTTCGATTTGGCTAAGCAATTTGACCACAAACTAATAAAAGAGACTTGACATTGTTTTTTTTTTTTAATTTATTGCTGGCCATGGAAACAAAGTCCTTCAGCCGAATTTGACATTGTTTTTGGAAGAGTTGCCATATGCCTTGCCATTTTACTTTTTTTTTTTACCATTTCCAAGTTACAGTTTACGGAGTGCGTAATTTGTACACCACAGCCTTTTCGAATAATAGAAGCCGGTTGTTAATTTTTTTCTACAACGTAAGAAAAAGATTTATTTTTTAATTTGTTTTATGACCATGAGACAATAAGACTGGACATAGAAAGTAATATAAAAAATAGCTTATTACAACTTTTTTTCTATAGTATTTACGATGTATTAACATATGTATAACAATGAAATAAAGTGGATTTGAATAAATGTCGGACAAGTTGGAGTTGGTGGTGGATAGAAGGTGTGGAAAGCTTAAGCTTGTTTAATGAACCTAGACAAACACAAATAAATAGATTTGTAAAGTACTTAGAGTCTTTCTTTTATTTATTGATAAGGGTTTTATTTATCGAGTTCTCAGGTTTTCGCGATTGTTACTCATGGGAAATGAAACTGTTTTTCCGGATTTAAATCGTATATTTGTTAATCTGTTTTTCCGGATTTAAGTCGTATAAAGCGTATATTTGTTTTTTCAAACAAACCGACGTTTCAGGCCCTTTACAGGTCCCGTGGTCACGGTTGAGGGTTTTACTTGTTTTACCCTTTTTTTTAACAGGTTAAGCATATACACGAAGAGCTCTACTACTACTCTACGTATATATCTTTTACAGTTACAATTTTTCATGAAATTGAAACAAAACGTAAAAAAAATAAAATTAACTTTTGCAGTATGTACATATAAATAACTTTTTAGATAGTGACATGTAAGAAAAAACTTTACGTTGGCGACGTTCGCCGCTTACTATTTTTACAAACTTGATGTTGGCGAAATCCTAAAAAGGGCAGCTCCAATAAACGAAAAAGAAGAACGAAATGTAATTTTCGACTCAAGGACCTTGGCAACACTTATTGAATGCCAATTTGTCAGGGATTCGCTCTGGACCTTTTGGAGGGAAAAGTGTCGTTTTTATTTTGACTTTCAATTATTTTGTGAAATCTAATTTAAAGTGGAATAGGATAGTGCTATTGTGCCTTAATCGAAGATTAAAACGCGAAATTATACGAATCTCGAACTAAAATACCCGTATCGGCCCGTTCCACAAACTAATAAGAGTTACTACGGCCCGTTCTAAGGAATCCCGAGTCAATCCAAGCACGCCGCATCAAATTGCCTATCCTTTTTGTGGCGGCCATATTTACAGAAATATAATTAAACGAAGATATGGCTCAAAGGGCTTGTATCCAAGCCAAAATTATAAAAAAAAGCCAATTTGTCAAAAAGTGTCAATTTTGTGAAGTGAGTTTTGTTGAAATTTTTAATTTTTCGACATATATCACAAATTATGCGAGATATCCCCTGTTTTTTTTCAAGCACAGCATTGTATTGTTGATGATGTCAAAAGTTATGTGAAAACATGTTTGGCTACAGCAAAGAAGCTGTTAGAGTGAAAGTTAAGGTTCGTATTGTAGTAACAGTATTCGATTATTTTTATTTCAAACAGAAACTGTAAGAATATTTATAATCGTCATCAATATTTATGTTCATTTTATCAGCAGCGGATGTTACCAAATTTTAGTATCGTAATGTGCTGTGTAACAAAAAAAACTTGACCGAAATATAGTCTACAATCCTCAAACGGAATCTGACATCAATTTTATTTTAATTATCTTATTCCAATTACGTTATATCTAGTCAAATATTTTTTTTTAAACACGGCTATTTTGAAACATGTATGTTTGTGTCATATTATTTTACAGAAATGTGAAGGTAAGCTCCAGCCAGAGCTAAGAAAATTCTCAGTAGACCCTCAAATAACGTCCTTAGAAGTCCTCCAAAGCATTTTAGTCAAGGCTTTTGATATAAAGTCTGATTTCACACTTTCATACCGAAGTCTAGATGACTATGGCCAGGAAGTGTACCTCCCTTTGCTCTCCGATTGGGACTTGGATGCAGCTTTTCTTAAGTAAGTTTAATTCGGGTTATTAACAAATATGTAATGTAAGTATTTTATTTTTTGAAACATTTTTTTAAAATTTATTAGTTATTATTATTGCACTATTTTTAATGGGTGATTGAGAATATGTGAAAAGTTTGTATTAGTAAAAGTTTGTAAAAGATTTTGAAGGTTTTGAATGATTCATATTCAAGGTGTGTTTTCACTAATCTTGAAATTAGATCAATACCTTCTACATAAGTCGTTGTAAGTCAAAATACCATTTGTTGCTTTTTAACATAATATATAATATATATCTTATTTTTATGTATATTATAGGTTCAAAGTAAACATCACAAACACTAGTGATTTCTTTACTTTTTTAAATAATATAGAACTTAATATGCATAAAAAGTATATATTTGATTTAAAAAGTAAAAAATTATTTGTTGACTTCCTTACAACTTATGTCGGAGATATCAAGATATAAACTTGAGCAATATTTAATTTGATGAGAATGTTAAGATAAAAGCAGATGCAGATGATACTCTAATTACTATACTGAGAACTGATACTCTTCTTAGGGTCGTATTCTAGAACTCTACTCAATGCTCAAGTCAGGACTTGATTTAATGCACTAGAAATCATACTCAAGTCCTTGCCATTAGGGTCGTATTTCCAGTGCTTGAAATCATACTCAAGTCTGCTCAAGTCCTGAGTTGAGCACTGAGTAGAGTTCTGGAATACGACCCTTAGTATTGTTATGATGCAGTAAATGAAGCCCATGTAGTTGTAAATATTGTTTGGAATTAGACTATTTTTCACAATAAAAAAATCTGGTCAGTTTGTCTAATAACAATATCAATATCATACTATTTTATGGTTTTTTCTATCTTGTCATATGTCTATATTTTTGTTGTAGAGTTGCCCAATGTAGGGTACAAGTTCATGAGACTATGTCCATTCTCATGAATGTTAACAAATTTGATTTTGGTCATGTAAAAAATTTTTAAATTATAAGTACTGTACTACTTTTTTTTAACAAAGGCATGTGCAACTTTTTACAACATTCCACACTGCTGAGTTTGAGTATACAAGGAATAACAGAGTGACTAGTAGAATATGCACGGCCTTTTCCTTCCTCTCCATGCGCACTCTGCGTAGAGAGCTGTCTGTGATATCTAAATTGTAAAGGTGTTTATAATTGGGCCATGACCAATTAACGCGGCAGTTACAGTGCATAGCTCTTGCCTTTTGAATTTAAGAAGTTTTTGGGATAGACTGGCATAGAGCGAAGGAGTGCTTGCCTAGCCTGTGTTATTATGAGAAGTCTGACCTTTATGTAGGATTGTTCTTGACCATTGATAGGGAAGGGATACTATGGGTTCTGGTCCTACAGTGTCTGTTTCTGACCCTTTTCTGGCTAGTTTATCTGCTACGTAAGGAATGACACATTGTGGCAATGTGAGCTGCTGTATCCTTTAATCCACTGTATATTATGTAGTTGTGTGTATACATAACTCTATGAATGCTTGATGGCATTCATGAATGAGCCCTGATTTATGTCATCGATGCTCAGGGCTTGAAGTACTGACATGCTGTAGGAGAGTATTCAAATGGAGTGATTCTTTACTCTTCTCGCTATGATTGCTTCTGCTGCCAACTTGATGATCATAGATCTTATTACCACTGTGTAGTGTTATAGGGTTATTTTGAGTGAGTATGCTCCCAAACAGTAGTTGATTAGGGTTATCAACGCAGATTTTTAAAGCAAATCTTTTTCGTTTAATAACTTGGAAACTATAAAGGTCAGGCCACACAGACGTATATAGCGGGACAATTATGGAAAAATTCCTGCTTTTATTAGTGTCACGAAAGTAATGCAAAAATTTTCGTTCGAATTCATATTGAAATTTAATTAAAAAAACACACTCAAGAGTTGTATAAAAATACAACGTGCGATCCGGTTATAGCCCCGCTTCCGTCCCGTGCCCCACCGCTGCCGCTCTTTGTGGACTGTGGCATAGAACTCAATGTAACACCACAGATTACTTAATAGTTACTACGTTAATACAGCTCCCGCGCCCGCACCCGCCCCGCCTTCGTCGCAGGTCCAGCCCTGTTAGACCTCTTTGGTTTTTAGACTTTCTAATTATGAACACCCTGGCCTATTTTATAAGTAATCTTTTTTATGATATGTTTGATATTCCGTATTTGTTCTGTTGTTTCTGTCTGCTCACTTCACTTCTTATTGCCAAATTCTCTGTATGTTACCAACAAATATAACTGTGTCTTTTAGTTGTACCTCTGCTTATTCAATTAGCCCGTGACTGGTCCGCCTGTTTGTCATAGCGTTCGGCTCCGGACCGCGCTGCGGCCGCCCAGCTGCCGCCCCGCCATCGATTTCAACGTGGCGGGGTGCATAAGAATTCGAACATGCTTAATTCCCCGGGCCCGAAACGCTACGCCCTAAACACTCAGAGAAATAAAAGTTTCAATACTATTAAGTACATGTGTAACTTCAGAGTTTTCGTCATTGTCGGTCGTTCCATCCTACTGGGTATATTTCTGATGCTGTTATTATTTTTCAATTGTTTTGACTGTTTACACTTGCACACCTGTGAGAACAAACAACTTCAAAAGCATTATGTTTGTAATAATAGAGAACACCTTTAAATATTTATATTATTTTTCTGAAGTGTTCGTTATATTCGTTATTTAGTTCGCATAAGATTGATCTTGACCCGTCCCGAGCCTATTTGTCCACCCGGCTTAAATGTGGCGGTGTGCATAAAAACTTGAACATTACAAAAATTCCCGGCCCCGGAACGCTTCCGCTACCGCGTTTGTGTGGCCCAAGCATTAATTCTAAATTTTTGTTTAAATATATTTTTAAGCAAATGTGTGCTATTCGTATTTACTAGAAATTTGACAACAGGGCTCATAATATAGCAGTCACCCAACGGTCAGAGCCATGTGTCCAGCTAAAAGTGGACATGAAGCCATTTGCAGAGGCGTCTGAGGACTGGGAGCCACCATGTGTCTCTCCCGCTCCCATAGTTCCACAAAGCTACCGAGAACAGCCTACTGTGGCCCCTGCACCGCATCAAGAGAAAACGGAAATACAAACTGGCTTCCAGGGACTCATCATGAACCAGGTACTTTTATAGTGTTAAGTCTGACTATTTGAGACCCTGAAAGTTCGCTATTTGTTTCAACAGTTGACATCTGACAGATTCTAAATATATTTATTATTATATAAATGTAATACTTATTTTTTCATTCATTTAATTATAGTACCAACATACATAAAATAAACAATTTACAATGTCAGTAAAATGTTATAAATTGCAGTACCTAGTTAAAACCATTTTATTGCACTGAAATACTTCATCCTCCTGTGCTTTACTTATATTAATATAATTATTATAATAATTAGTAAACAAGTAACAGCTTTTATGCTAGACAATCTACTTTCATTGCACACAAATTACTTGAAACTCTGATTTGTGTGCTTGTTCTGAACAAATTTAGTTTCAAGGTTTCTCAAGGTTGTCTAGCAATCATATGAAGCGGTGATTTTTCTAATTCTATTAATTTCATTAATTCAAAAAATATTATACGTTCTACATTTGTCACTACATGCTCTATTAAAAGTATATATTTATAATAGTTAAGGACGTTAAATAAGAAATTACTAACGAGAGTCTATTAGAAGCCCGATGCCCCTCGAAGTTTGGATTTTTAGCGCCTGTGCCACATATAACATTTTCATCACATTTGCGACGAAATAAATATAATGATAATTTATTATTTGTATGAATAGATATGGCTTCACAACATAGCAATTACAGAGTTTGCAAATGGCGAGTTTTTTTACATAAACAGATTTCCAGAGTTTTTCCATAAATTCTACAACTCGAACTAAAATATTGTAACAGCTAAAAGCGCATACAGCCATTACAACCATGATCGTAAAGGTATAATAAATAATTTCAAAATACTAAGAATGCTGCAGAATATGAATATAGAAAATTAATTTTACACATGTTTAGTTTTCCTTGCTATACTTCAAGCTTAATATAAAATATGAAATAATTCAGATTTTTCAAGCATTAAAACTTTTTGCTTAATCTTAACGTTTATGAGATGCATAGTGCTATTAAAATTAAAAAAAAATTATTACTGTACTGTAGTAATGTATTGAAAAAACACGTGAGCGTAATTCAGCACGTTACAGCCGACTTCGCCTGCATGTTAAGGTACTGTTTACGAGCAAGTGTGATAAAAATAATGTTTCATGCATTCTCAAGTTTTGTTACATTCAGGTTGAGCGAACATTCAACATGGTCTCACGGGCCCTAAACTTGTACGAAGATGCGAACACTCCTCCGCGCACGCCACTCAGCGATATCGAGTTCAGAGCGTTCCTCGATACAGTTGGACAGATCACGAACACCGCAAAACTTAGAGAAGTCATATATTGCGGCGGTATAGATCCTAGCTTAAGGTGATTCTTTCATATTATTTAATACTTATAATTTGTAATAGATAATAGATGCCTGTAAAGGAGGTTTTAAAATGTACCCTGTAGTCTGAACATACTTTCCCATAGGCGGCCTAGAGATGAATTTCAATGTTAAGTGTGCCTACTGTACTTTTCACACATAGTCAAAAGAAGAGGTAAAACCAAGAAATGTAAACAATTAATAATGCACGCTGATGCTCAAATCATATGACGAAATAGATTCCCTACTTTAACACGACAACTTTAACTTACAGAAAAGTTGTCTGGAAACATATTTTAAACGTTTATCCCGAAGGTATGAACGGAAGGGAAAGAATGGACTACATTAAAAAAAAGGCCAATGAGTATTATACCCTCCGGGCGAAATGGAAGGACTGTATACAGAAAGGCAAGGTAAGGTAGAATGTATTTAAATTTTTAACATCAAAAATGTATATCTATTTTTTTGTATACCATATAATTTTTGTTTCAGGTGAATGGTAACTTGGCTTACGTAACGAGTATGGTCCGCAAAGACGTCCTGAGAACGGACAGACATCACAATTTTTATGCAGGCAGTGATGACAATCAAAATATTGCTTCTTTGTTTAATATTTTAACAACGTAAGTAACTAACGTAATTTGATTTTCATCACATAATATCTAAAAAAGACTTCCATATGTGCATACTTCAAAACTAATCATTTCAGGTACGCTTTGAATCACCCTACAGTAAGCTACTGTCAAGGTATGTCCGATTTGGCTTCACCACTGCTAGTAACAATGGGCGATGAAGCGCACGCCTACATCTGCCTATGTGCTCTTATGACAAGACTCTACCCCAATTTCCTGTTAGATGGAGAAGCCATGACCCTCAAATTCTCGCATTTGACGGAGTCTCTACAGGTCTACGACCCCGACTTTTATTATTATTTGAAATCACAGCAAGCTGACGACTTGCTGTTTTGCTATCGCTGGCTACTATTAGAAATGAAACGTGAGTTCGCTTTCGATGATGCCCTACGAATGCTCGAAGTCCTGTGGGCTTCATTGCCTCAAAAAACGCCAGTTGTAGAATTATCATTGAAAGAAAAAGAATTTGACCCCGCATTTGATATTGACGACGATCCGCCACCTTTAAGTCCTTTGGTCAAAGCACCTCGTGAAAATGCTTATACCAAAGTATGCGCTATCAGACGCCAAAGTTCAAGTTTCAGTTTAGCAAATATAAAAGCACCCAAACTCTCCACTTGTAAACAGATGAACCATAGCCTGGACGAAAACGTTACTCGTAATGCTAAAACACAACCGTTCCTAAAATACGCCAAGGAATTTCAAAGTTTGGATGATGCAATTCTTCAGCAACGGAAACTAAAATCAGACAAGCTTGATATTTTACTGGATAAAAACGACTCCAACAAAACTGTAAAAGATTCAAAGCTCCACCTTCGAAGAAGCATGAAAAGCGTCCCTGAAGATAGCAAACATTTGGACAGTCAAGAACCGTCAACGACGTGGTCAAGTACAGGCAACTTGACGAATGGAAACACACACACTGAGGCGAAAGATGCGCCGCTAGGGAATCAGATAAGAATGTTAAGGAATAAAATATCCGTACACAATAATAAATTCTTTTCATCCTTAGATACACTTGACGGGTCGGCTGAATCAGATTGCAATAGACCAAAAGTAAAAATGGTAAAGAATCTTAATGAATTCTTGAATTTCGCTACAGGTAGTAAATCAGTAACAGAAAAAGAGAAACTCCAAAGAACGCATTCGGTAATAGAAAGAACGTCTAAAGAATGTCCAAGGATAACATTGACGAAAACATCTTTCGATGAGAGTGACTTGAGGACACACGATTCCAGGGAACATAAAATTTTTAAGGCTAATAAAGGAGCCAGTGGCGATACCACCGAAGGCAGTAGTCCTGACGACTCGCAAGAGTACTATCCTATGACAACCTCCATGACGAGAGAGTTAAGACTTGAACTGGAACACTTAGACCGGCAAGTGTTTGGGCAATCTTATGTGAACCGTTGCAGCATGATCTGCGATTCTACCTCAGATTCAACCAGCACTGAAGAAAAACCCACACAAGATTGTACCAATATTAATCAAGAAGACTGCAACACTACCAATACTCTAGATACTCAGACAGAGCCTACCATATTAGTAGAGAATGTTAAAAAATCGTCATTGCTCGACGCTATAAAATCTAACGCTAGAAGTGCAGAGGATATTTATCTGTGGGAGAATCCATTACATAGGAACACACCTACGACGCGAACGACAGCGAGCTGTCCCCAGACTCCCGACGAGCAAGCTGATCTCGATTTCGACGGAGATACAGGAGAAATATTTGAAGAGCACTCTGGGAAGAAATCTATTACACCAATAAGACTATTAAGAAAGAATCAGTCTCTAGAACCCCAAGATCTCTATCGCGATTCAAAACATTCCGGCACTCATTCCAGTGAATCAGATTCCTCAGAAAGGGAGCCGACCACTTCGGCGGATCTAAAACCTATCAAAATTAATCAAGGTGATGCTTCAAGTACCTCAAGATCGCATAAATTTTTCTCGAGTATGTCGCAAGAGTTAGAGAATGCAAAAAGAAACTGCGAGTCACTGCTAACAGCAAAGCAATCTAATTTACAAAGCGTCGCATCGACGATTAACAATTTTCAAAAAAAATATGAGGTATTTAAGCCTCCAACGCAGCGGAATGTCAATGTTAGTTCAGTGGGTGGCAGCGAGAATTCTGTGAAGTCCAGTGTTAGTAGTCTGCCGCCACCGACTGTGTTTGGAGGAGGTAATCCATTTTTAATGTTTCTTTGCTTAACTGTGCTGTTGCAGCACAGAGACTACATTATGAGAAATAGAATGGACTACAACGAATTGGCTATGCATTTTGACAAAATGGTTCGTAAACATAATGTAAACAGGGTATTGAACCAAGCTCGACAAATGTACGCGATTTATTTGAAGCAACAAAGTCTAAAGACTGGCGACATTACCACTTAATTATAAACGTAAAGATCTCTATAAATTACTCATAATATTATTATCCACATAAGTCATACTGCGAATGATAACACCAGTAGGGTAAGTTGTAATCCACTTTATTGGATAAGATTACCTACATTTAATCCAAAAACTTCTATGTATTATTATTATCCAATTAGATATGTATGAAAATAATGTTATTTCATGGTCATTGACAAATGGCATTTAAATATTAATTAAGGATCTTGTACAGGGTGGAAATTTGAGATGATTTCTCTAGAATACGAATGGGTTTGCGTTTTCTGGGACCTATAAATAATCTGGATCGATTACAATTTAACCTTATTTCTCGCCGACCGTACTCTCTTACAAATCTGTGAGTGAAGTAGGAAATAACTTCACAAGATAGAAATTGTCCGTTAAGATCTTTTTTCTTTGACATCGATTTCGGAACTGGCAGCTGCCCTAAGGGTTGCCTCAAATTACCATTGCCCGACGAGAGACGACGCTGCGATGCATTAAAACGAGTAATGCAACATAAAGATTATCTTCTAAGAGTTAATTTTAAATGAAAAAGAAAATGCAAAATGCAATAAAATATGGGACATCTCCACTAAATACATTTACAAATACACCGCCTCGCGGCGCATCCTGTCGTCTTAAGCTTGTGCCGCCACGGGTAATGCAAAGTTTAACTTAGCTCCATAATAAAAAAGTTAAAAATAAGACAGCAAGCGGTGCCGCGCTGCTTTTCTCTATAAAGTATACATTTGTACGGTGTAGTGCGTACTTTGCAAAATGCAATATTATATACGCAGCTCGGTGCCGCTGGCAACATCCTTTTCAGTTTTTGTTTAAAGAAATGTAACCTTATCTTGTAGATTTCGATTTAGAAGACCAGTTTATCTTGTATTGTAAGTTTCAATGCATCACAGCGTTGCGTCTCGCCTGGCTGCGTTATTTGAGGCAATCCTAAAGCTGCTAACAAATTGACTGTTTGCAGTTAATGCTTGAAGTCATAATCAACTTCACGCATTAAATGCATGCATTCGATCTCGGCTGTATGAAGTCGGTTTAGACTGTATGCAGTTAATGCGTGAAGTCGTTATCCGACACCTCGACTGCATGCAGTTAATTCGTAGTCATTATCAATTTGCTGCAGTCTTGATGTCGACTGCATGCAGTTGATTACGATTTCACGCATTAACAGCAAACATGCAGTCAATCTGTTAGCAGCCTAACGGTCTCATTCAAATTTCCATACTGGATTCCAAAGATTATTTATTTTTAACTATTGATCGATTGTGATATTTTCTTTAATAAATAGAGTAGCGCTAGTCTCGTGTCTTTTACTATTCGTAATAATTTCTTATTTAATCAGATCTCTAATCAGTACCTAGCTAAAGTATTGCACAAATTGAAAAAGTAACCATTCATCGTAAGAACAGTTAATAGCATAATCATCCATATTACAAAAAATCAAATATATTTGCCCTCTGGCCTGTTGTAATGTATATTGTATTAATATTGTCATTCAGTATTTGAAAATAAAAAAATGACGGCTGATAGGGGAGAGTGGAAGAAAAATACATGTTGTGCCGACCCCACTTAGCGTGGGATAAGGACAGGAAGACGATTGTCATTCAGTATTTATTTTTAATCTTACATTACATTGTATTATTTTACCCTGTAAATAAATTAATCGGCATCTCTACTTATAGTAGTTTCTTTCTCTTACAAAATGAAACAGCATATTCCACTTGTTAATTTTATTTGCCAAATGGATAGATAACAGGTTTATTTAATTCATAATAACTTATCGCCTACAAGTATCACATCATTCGGAGCTTATATTTGGTAGTTCCTACTCAAAAAGTAGTATGAGAAATTTTACATCTAACAAATCTGAATGAAATGATATCTATGTTATGTGTACATAGTTTTTGTGTCGCGAATTCATGCAGTTTTACAATTTTTATGCGAATCATAAGTATAATTATGCCCTTTTAGTGTCCTTTTTGAAGACGGAGTAAAATGACATTTGCAGGGTTGCCAGTTTTCTTACAATTTTAAAGTCATGTAGTTGTTGTCGCCAATTTTATCGATAGATTGTGAACGAAAATAATATTTTGCCAAAAATGTCAGACGTTCTGATGATTACTAATTGCTTTATTGCCTTCTTTAGTCTTATTTTCACATTTGGCCTACTATCGGAATATATTTTTACTCGTGTACATTTCAATAAGCACAGGCAGATTTAATTATACATATTGAATTAATATAACAATCTTCAAATTATGTCTCCTCTTCATATTTTCAATAGACATAGTTGTGTATGTATGTATGAACTTACAAAAATTAACAATTCAGATGAACCTATGCCCAGCAGTTGAACAAATAAAGAGCCGATGATGATTCAAATGATAACAAGTTCGATTATTTATTGCATAAGCGTAACTGACATTTAGTCGACAGAATGTTTATCGACTGCAATCATTAGCAGCTTGCAAGCGGGCAACACTTTTGCGCAATGAACTGTCATTATACTCCATCTTCAAAAAAGACAGACTATACTATTCCCTATTTTTATGTAAACCACTAATTTATAACTAGTTTATTTCCAAATCAAGCTTTATGTTCGTTACAATTTATTTTCGTCGATTATTGTTGCCTGCTAAGATCATAGCGATGCGCATGAAGATGTTCAGGACGTCCAAATATACCGATACAGCACTGGAAAATAAGAGAAATAAATATATAAGTTACACTGAAATATAATCTGGCAAATTTATAAGTAATGAATTTAGTAATAATTTATTATTTCTAGTCTAGGTAGTATTAAGTATGTAGTACTAGTATTAAGGAAGGTTAATTCTTGCACTAGATATCTGCATCTATTACAAACCTATTATATCTTGAAGAGCGCTTGACAAATATCAAAAAATAAAATGCTCATTAAAAAGTAGGCACAAATTAATACCCTGATGTGAAAACTGAATTTATATTCTTAAATGCTAAAACTTAGAATCAAATGTTAATAAAGGTTTGTGACGTCACTCCATAATGGCGATTTGTATTATAAGCGTATGATCGTTTAAAAAAAAAAGATTTGCTATCCCCCACCATTAACCTACAATCATTAATTTTCTATGGGAGATAGTTATTAAAACAGAATTTCAGATTCTATTTCAGCATGTTCATTTGAGTTGCATAAAGCGTTTCTACGTGAGGCGCACTATAAGTTTCCGGAATGAATTAAGAAAAAAATACTATAAATGGTCAGAAATGAATTTATTGTTTCTCAAAATATTCTCCGTTAGCGTTAATGCACTTTTTCATACGAATGAACTAATTTTGAAAACATTTATGCCACTCATCCGTGACAATGTCTGAACCATATTTTTCATACTCTTCGACAGCATCTTCAGGTGATGAAAATTGTTGACCGCGTAAATGGTTCTTAATTTTTGGAAATAAATAAAAGTCACAAGGGACAGGTCGGGACTGTTCGCGGGATGAATCATAAGATCAACGTTGTTCACCTTCAAAAATTCATTTACCTGTCTGGCCGTGTGAAAACTAGCATTATCGTGGTGCAAGATGATACGGCGTTTACGTTATTTTTACGGAGATTCTCAAAAAATTTTGGGATCGTAACTATAAATCCATGTTTAGTCACCTGTTACTATGTCCCACATGAAATTTGACGCCCCTTCCGTTGAATCTGGTAAGCATGGCATTGCACCAAGTGACGCTATCTGTTTTTTGAACCTCAGTCAAATTGTGCGGGATCCACCGAGAGCAGAGCTTTCTCACACCGAAATGTGTGTGTAGTATTGATTGTATTTAACTCATGCCTGTGCCTAAAGATGGCCGAATCTCATGGTATGTCACATGCCTCTCTGTTTTGATCATACGGCCGCACAGGATTGATGTTTTTGTTGTTCGCAGTAGTGGACGGGCGACTATCACGAAATTCGCCACTGAAATTCATACGACCGCGTTTGATTTCTGCAAACCAGCTACAAATAGTCGTCTTGAATGGTGCTTTATTGCCAAAAGCAGTTTGAAGCCGAGCGAAGCTCCATTGAGCTGTTAAATTACACTTAAAGTCGTAGAAAATCTTACTACGAAAATTTTCACGAGTTAAATCCAAGGTGATGTAGACAACCAATTTCTAAAATGACGCCATAATGTAAAAACAAGTGACAGTCAGATGAAACAAACTGTATTCTACAGCCAAGGAGTTCCAATTTCAAATGTTGTAATTACTTTTTAAATATTGTTTATGTAAGTGGCCAGTTCCGGAAACTTATAGTGCGCTCTATGTAGGTGTCTACCCTTTTTCCTAAATGTGTCTAAAACCTAGATAAAACTTATTTACGAATGTTTACTCACGAGTTAATAGGGTCGTACGGCTGGAATCCGTAGGCGGGATGTGTTTCAGCTCGTTTTATGATCATTTGTGTGTCGTACAGCAAAAATCCGCTGAATACAATCAAACCTCCATACATGCTTAAAGAATATAAACCTGCAAAACAATGTAAGTACATGTTGTCAACGATTTTCAACACAAAAAATATATATGTCATATAATAATAACTTGTAAAAATTACTGCAGTAACTTTACTGGATTAAAACATTTTTATTTTAATTTATTAAAACAGGATTTTGTTTTTCACTAAACAAATATATAGTGTTATCATAGTTCTCATTTAAAAGTGTTATTTTGTAGTTTTATAGTATTTAATTTATATATAAATGAATCGTAAATATAAATTACAAAAGCACACAAAATAATCAAATAGCTAACTGTCCTTTTTCTACACATTGCATGCGCAAAAGATGGAAAGATACCCATTATGTCAATTTCAAGAAGCTTTTCAACACCACAAGCGATTGAAATATTTTATATAATAATAATAATATCATTTATTTAGAGCAAAGAAACTATAAAGTCGCTTTGATTTTAATCTTATTTTTAAAATGATTTTTTATTAAACGTTAGCAATAACTAACAAAATATTGTTGTACTTGTTTTACGGCTTGGGATACCTACCAGAAGTCAGAAAATACATTTGCCCGAAATAACGTTAGCTCGAATTTTCATAATATCAAATGTATTTTTTTAGGAAGATTACAAAACAAAAGCTAATTTTATCTTTGTGAAAAGCATCAAAATTATTCGAAAGCGGAAAGGTTTTATTGTAAACCGATTTTCGGAATTACGGATATTTGAGTTTACGTTTAGTTGGAATATCGGTCCATTTCTTATAGTACACGCTTATTTTCACATTTGTAGAATATTTGTATGTATGTATCTGCCCAACTCTTTATAATTTCTTAAAGTGAATTTGTACAAAACTTACATAATATATATAAAAATTAATTAATAATAGGGGTTAAAGTATGAAATTGCCGATTTGTACTGAAAATCTAAATTGTTTATTTTTTAAATTTTTAACAAATTTATTTAATCAAAATAGTTGCCATTATTATCTATACATTGCTGCCATCTAATGGGAAGGTTATTAATGCCTTTGCGATAGAACTCCGACGATCTAGACTGCACAAACTGTGTGAAAGCATTTTGTACTGCCTCCTGGGAAGAAAACTTCTTGTCACGTAGATAATTGTCCAAATCACGAAAAAAATGGTAGTCCGTTGGAGCAAGGTCTGGTGAATACGGAGGATGACGAATGGTTTCTAACTGCAGTTCCTGAAGGGTCAAAATGGTTTCTCGTGCTGTGTGAGGTCTCGCGTTGTCGTGGAGCAATAATGGTGAAGATCGATTCATGAGTCGGGGTTGTTTTACTGCTAGTTTTGTCAACATGGTTCGGAGTTCGGCACAATAGACATCTGCCGTTATTGCTTGACCAGATCGGAGAAAACTATAGTGAATAACACCATGCTGAGACCACCAAACAGTTACCATTACCTTTTTATTGGTAAGTTTTGCTTTAGGACACTGTTGTGGCATTTGACCTGGGGTCAGCCATTGCATTTTTCTTTTCCGGTTATCATAAAGAATCCACTTTTCATCACATGTTACAATTCGATCCAATATTCCTTCATTTCTGTACCGGTTCAACAAGGCAACACAAGTTTCAACACGCGTTTCTTTCTGCAGATCAGTCAAATCATGAGGCACCCATTTTTCGTATTTTTTTATTTTATTGATTTGACGCAAGTGAGTCAATATTGTGGGTAAGGTAACGTTAAACCATGCCGCTAATTCCTGGGTAGTTTGACTAGGATCGGCTTCCACTATCTCTCTTAATTCATCGTTATTCACCTGTGTGGGCGGTCTTCCTCGTGGCTCGTTCTTTAAGTCGAAATTTCCATCACGAAAGCGTTTAAACCAAAATCGCACGGTGCGTTCATTAGTAGACCCCTCTCCAAACGCAGCATTGATATTGCGGGCTGTTTCTGCCGCGTTAGTTCCGCGTCGGAACTCGTATTCAAAAATCACTCGAATTTTCGCAGTATCCATCTTTCTTGTCTAAATTGAATAACAAAAACAATTGAAAGTCGATATTCAAATGTTTCAAATTAAAAAAAAAAAAAAAAAATCACAGAAACCATTTGAAAAAAGTTTCATTCGAAAACCTCAAACCATGAAGATTCTATGAAAATTCAAAGAACCTATTGCAATAAAACGGCAATTTCATACTTTAACCCCTAATATTTACGATAAAGGCTACTACTACATTCCTCTTGTGTTAAAGTAATTTTCAGTTGAGGCTAAATATGGTGGGTGCATTTTGTTAAATTTCCAGTATAAGCTAAATAAGAAGGTGTTTTTGGGCCATTCAATTGTTGCAAGCAAATTTAGGCAGTACTGCAATGACGTTATAATTTAAATTATATGTTTTAATTTTTTATATTTCGTTACATGTCACTACGTTTGTATAGGTTAACTTCGGACATTTTTTTCTTGACTTTTGTATTAGACCCGACGTCCATTTCTTGGTAGATCAATGCATTAGCGCAATATTGGTTGCTATCTAAACATCAAATTAAAGTAAAATAAAAAGTCACTTTGCATGAACATCCTTCAAACTTTACCAAAATACTTAATGTAAGCATAGTTCATTGCACTCCGCACATCAGTCAATTATTGTGATTTGTTTTGTGGAGAAATAAATGCTATTTTTTATTATTTTTTTATTGTAATTATTAATACAAAGATCGAACACTCAGAAAAAATTCCTTCGATCCGGCCGGATTCAAACCGACGCACAGAGGAGTATTTCTAAGCAAAAACAAATCAAAAGTCGATTTTAAAAAATTTGTTTGTGTCTTCTACAAAGTATGCATCGTTAAATCTTAATAACCGTTACACCACTTAACAAGAATTTTGACAATGCTCTACCCTTTCTGCGCCCGAGACAGCAGTCGGAACCCTGTCACTGGGTATATCGCTTGTCTTTGTCCTGTTTGTGTGATCTTTCAACCCTATTCTGTGTTTATGTGTGGTGAAAGCTTTATAATACCTGTATTGAACAGGAAGGTAATAATCTGCATTGCACTTGATACAGTGACATTTCTTATCGTAAACATTCCAGAATAAAAAATTAAAGTTTTTTATATCACTTACATTCACACATGATTATGTATATGAGTTCAGCCTAGTTCACTTATTACTACTTATTACTATTTTGTGTGTAACTGAAACCTTAGTTATCCTTGATAATGTTTCTTAAAAAAAAAGTCACGAATGTATCCGCCATTTTTACTTAATTTTTTAAACACATAAGGCATAATATTTTTTTTGTAAGAAAAACTTGTTTCGTATTATTTTTTCAGGATTTTCAGCGCTGGCGATGAAAATAACTGGGAAATCACTGTACCTATTAAGTACTGAAACAATGTTCGAAGAAGAAAATGGACGTCAAATTCGTGTTTTTGGAAGACCATCTAAATAATATTATCAAATGCCCTGAAAATGAAAGAGGTTCAATGCTTCAAAGACTTTTAAATTTCAATTGAAACAAAAATAAATAGCCGCTAGTAATAACGAATAATGCTTTTTGGAGAAAAATAAACAATGACGCATTATCAAGTTCTTAGGTTTTCGCGATTGTTACGCATAGGAAATGAAACTATTTTTTCGGATTAAATCGCGTATATTTGTCTTTTCGATTTATCTCCGGTATTGATTTAAATCCGGAAAAATGGTTTCTGTTCAGGACGAAAACGTGTTCGCGCCCATATGATTTATAATATTGTAATTTATTATTGTTAATTTCGTTTAAGATTTTGGTAAATAAACGAGAGGGAGAGAGGGGTCTTACTTGGAATCTGTAGGGTTCTCCCGTCCCGCTCCTGCATTGGTGCCGTCCCGCTCGCACACTTGAATAGAATGCGAGCGGCACGGCGGGCCAGCGATGATATAAAAGGCGGAGCGTTGGGAGCGGAACGACATTCCAAAACTGACTGCATAAGAATCCGAAGGCGTTCCAAATCTCACCGCGATCCAAGCAAAACCAAGATCAAGAAGCTCAATTTACAACCAGGCGTTTTTCACTTAATCCGCCCCCACAGTTTCATTTGCAATGGCTTATTACTATTAAGTATAACTCTTAACTACCTGGACATTAAAAAGACCCGGCCGCCCATCAAACGATTTCAACGAATCGAGTGAGAACCTTATGAAGAAATGCATTATTATTTTAGAGACTTAATCAAGTGAACACAAAATTGATGTAAAAAATTTTGAAACTTTTGCTGATAATAGAGCGAAACTTTATGTAGAGTTGTATGGGTGGTAACCCAATGACTCTGACAATGCAGAAAGTTTTGAGACATGGCGCTACAATAATTGATCACGCTATTCCACCTATTGACCAGCTTCCAGAAGAAGCGGCTGAGATCCGGAATAAACCGTCCTCTTGTATAGGCAGAATTATGCAAGAGAGTTTTCATGAAAAAATTATAATAGACATTTCAAACAATTTTGCTAACTTCTGAACCTTTTTTGAGCAGTACAAGACAAATGCCCCAGAAAAAAGTATATCTTTCTCCAGTGAGACACAGGAACTTCTGCAGCCGAAAACATCGGACGCAATGTCAACTGAAGTTGAACCCAAATAATGAAGATGAGCATGGGTCTTATGACAACGAGCCCGATTAATATATTTTAGGCAATATTTTATAATTATTTTTTTCAATACAATGAAAAATATGTGTTTTAAATACATTATAATGACTTTAAAATGCTTTTTATTACAAATCAAATAGATAAAAATAAAAAAATAATCTTGAGCAACTTTTGAGGCGAAATACTCCTCTGTACGACGTCTTCTACTAGCATACCGCGTCAGACGCTATACCAACTAAGCAACGGAACGAACCAGCGGACCTCATGAATGTTTCTATGTGTTTGTTGTCGTGTCTTTGTTATTGGTTTCTTTCAACGACATTTTGAAATTAAGTAGGTAATATTAACACATCGAGAATATAACTCGATGTATTAATTTTAATAATATTAATACATCGAGTATATAACTCGATGTATTAATATAAGAAACATAGCGTAAGTTTGAGATAATACTATGTTAGTTGTCATGTGGGAAAAAATTGAGTTAGTGTTCAAAATGTTTATCTATTTCTAGTACCCACTTGCACTATAATTTCAGTTCTTGCACAAAGAACATTGTATTGAGACTCCATCCAATGACAATTTAAGTCTTTTTCATGCGCATTTTAAATAGTGAATGAATCCCAGTCAGAAAACCAACATTTTATGTAATACTGAATGTTTAATTTGTATGCATAAATTGTCGAATGACGTTGAATTAAAGGAATGGGTGTCTTACCAGCGCCAAGAGCAGTAGTGGGTGGCAGAAACATGCCAGCAAGAGAGGCGGCGAACACGGCGCCGAGGCCCATAGCCAACGGCGCGCGCATATTTAGGAACTCCCCAGATGGTGCGCAGACTGCCACTGTGCTCAGTCCGCCCACTACACCCGCCGTATACCTGCATCACACCACATTATTGTTACCGAGATTTTTTTTATATTTAATATTATTGAAACTTCCAGTTAAGTTCATCTAAAGGACTTTTTTTATAATACCAAGTGATGGGACGAACAAGTCGTGCGCCTGGTGGCAAGAGACACGCCTATCCATAACAGTTGCAGTGCTACTCAGAGTTTTAAATCGCAAAGATCTTAGGGGCACTGCCACGGCGGCACTCACCCTGAGACATAAGTTGACAAGTCCCGTGTGTCTGTAATTTCACCAGCACCCTTCTTACCCTTCCAAACCAGAATGCAGGAATGCTCACATTACTGCTTTGTGGCAGAAATAGGTAAGGTATCACGCTACCACGCAGTAATTCCCATGACGAACTTTCACAACGAGCTCTACTACTAGTAATTAGTCTCCACTTACCAAGCTGCACGAGTAAGGATGGGTCCACCAAGGAAGCATATTGGTGCAATCACAGCGCCCATTATGCCTGTGTGCACTATCCAAGCAAGTTGTTTAGCGCCAAAGCCTTGTTTATATTCCATGCTTCGCACCACCATGCCTGAACCGATCATCAGGCCCATTGTCACCAGGATTGACTGTGGATTGAGGATAAATAAATTAACGGGATTATTGTAGTAAATTTGTATCCTACCAAAAACGAAAATAATACATATAATGCCTAGATGGTGAATACACCAGTGTATGGTCAAACCAAAAATAGTTTTAGTTATTAATAAATAAATAAAATAAAAATGGGGTTGATTGAATGCAGAGGACAATTCATGAGACTCAAAAATTTGATCCAAGTCAAATATATGTTATTCTGATAGAAACCATTTTTTAACTATATTCAGGGCTTTTGTAATTTAGAGAATCATCTCTGATAACTGCTATCTATGGCCTATCTTAGCAGCAGCAACTCGCTGCGACATTGTTAGCGCTAACTGACTGCCACGCAAGCAGAGTTTCTACTAACCATCCATCCACTTCGTGCGACTAGATTAAGCAGTGTCGGTGTATTGAAGACGTACATAGCACTTCCCGCTGTCAAAATGAGAGACCCAGCAAGGTATGCGTATGTGTTTCTGATACGCTCCTTAACATAGTCTGGCCAGAGGCTGAAAATAAAACATTTACACATCACTACATACTTTCTTTCCTTGTATATAATAGACACAGACATGTATCTAGACGCCGCAAGTATACCTACTTCACGTGCCCAATGTAAGCTATAAACGCATAGTTGCCGCTGCTACGCTTCAGAACGCGCTTGGCCGTTATCGTAGTTAATCATCAGTCAGAAACTGCAAAAACACCGCAGCTGTGCGAAGATACATAACCTGGGACATTACCTTCCAAAGTAATTTATTTTTAATCTTATTTTTAATAAGACCTGTAAACTTGGGTGTCAATGTCGCCCTACTAATCCCTGTGGGTTATTCTACTTTATCGTGTCACCTCGTAGTGAGAGGCAAGACCTCACATATGAGTATAGAGTTTTAACCCTCTTCAAATGTGCCCTAATTGAAATTGGCTTCTCAGAGCCACATAATGGCCACATTCCATTAAATGTCTCAAGTTTGTTACAGAATTTACAGCTGCCTATTTTTTTATTAGATGATAGAACTTATTTAAGGGAAGGAGATGGTCACCTTCCTTTAAATAAGTTCGTAGCTTATGCTACGACTAATACATTTCTAGAAAGTGCGCCGTCCACAAAGCAGGGCTTTCGCGGTGGACGCACTTGAACAGTTTTGTACCAAATTCCTTTCACTGCAGAAATCGCACCATAAGGATGAGGCCAAACGAGCGTAATTTTGTGAGTTGTGAGTTGCGTTTTTTGATTTGCGCAGTTTGCGCTGCATTCGGTTTCATATAAAAGTACTGTTTGTTTCACACGACGACACAAAATGAGTTATCTGCCGACTCACGGGCGTAATGACGACTGACTTAATAATTATTGAAAAATATTTATTGTAGGAGTAGAGTTGGTGGTGGTGGACCCTGCTTCTTTTTCTAACATCGTCTTGTAATGCTTCATAAATGCATACTATGTTTTTCATGAGCGCAAACTGCTCAAAAAACGCAAGTCACAACTCACAAAATTACGCCCGTCTGGCCTCACCTCAGATCTTACTCCACATCTCCATACTTAGATCTCTTACAAATGTGATGATTTCTGCAGCAAGAAGTTTAAGGACGAGTTCATCTAATCTACTATTTCATTGCTATTAACTACTATTCTCACAGCTTCATAAGCTTTGGGGGGTTTACGTTGGCCTCCCAAAACACATCCACCTAAATGTTGCAGTGCACTTTTAGAATCTGTAAGAATAACGATGGCACTACGGCTAAAAAGTCATTGAAAACTAAAAACAAAGATTCAACATAGCACATAGAAAAATTCGTGAGGTCCACTGGTGGAATGTGTTAGAAATTATTCAAAAATATTTAAAAAAGTATGTGTAGCTGCTAAGGTTAAGTTTCACAGCGACAAAATTAGACAATCGATAAATAAATCTAAAACTATTTGGAGCATAATAAATAAAGAGACAGGCAGGGTTAAACAACACGATAGAGATATAGTTTTAGAATTAGACAGCAAACTCATAAAATCTAAAGATAAAGTAGCCAAGCTTTTGAATCGTTCTTTTCGGAAATTACTGTGAACACTACAAAATCATTAAATTCCTCCCCTTCACTTGCTATTGATCTCCTAAAGGAAAATGTTAACGTTTGTGGCAGTTTATTTAATTTCCGTCATGTTAATCCTCAAGACATCATAAAAGCTTTTAAATCAATATATGTTAAAAAAACTGAAGATCTCTGGAGCATATCAACTAAAGTTATAGACTCAGTTATTGATCTTATTTCCCCACAATTAGCTGTAGCTTTCAATAGGTGCGTTGACGAAGGTGCTTTTCCCGATTTAATGAAATACAGCAAGGTTATTCCCTTATTCAAAAGCGGTAGGAAAGTTGATCCTAGCAACTATAGGCCCATTTCAATTTTACCAGCTTTAAGTAAAATATTCGAAAAGGTTATGCTAACTCAATTACTGTCCTATTTCTGTAGGAATCATATTTTTCATAGTGCACAATACGGGTTTACTAGTGGTAGGTCGACTAGCGATGCGGGGGTAACGTTACTAAAACACATCTTTGATGCTTGGAAAAGGTCCCAGACCGCTATTGGTGTTTTCTGTGCCCTCTCAAAGGCATTTGATTGCGTTGATCATATTACTCTTATTAGGAAGCTGGGACATTACGGTGTAAATGGCAAGGCGTCGAAACTTGTCTCGTCATATCTCAACGGTAGAATTCAGAAAGTAGACATAAATGGAGTGACTTCTTTGGGTTCTCCAGTAAAAATGGTTGTTCCGCAGGGCTCAATACTTGGACCTTTCTTATTTCTGATTTATATTAATGATCTGCCATTCTTTGTTAAGGACCATTGCGAAATAGTGTTGTTTGCTGATGACAGATCCTTGATTTTTAAAACAGACAGACATGACATTAACTATGACCATATTAATGATACCCTCTCTAAGATCGTTTATTGGTTTATTGCTAACAATTTACTGCTTAATGCCAAGAAGACAAAATGTGTTAAATTTCAATTAACTAACGTAAAATCGACTAGTCCAAGCATAGAAATAAACGGAGAAAAGTTAGACCTTGTTAATAAAGTCTTCTTGGGAGTGACCTAAGATAGTAAACTTCAATGGTTTCCACATGTATCGTCTCTGGCCAGCAGATTAAGCTCCGCTGCATACGCAGTCCGCAGAATACGTGAGCTTACCGATGTTAGTACTGCTAGATTAGTTTACTTTAGTTACTTCCATTGTATAATGTCCTATGGGATCCTCATGTGGGATAAAGCGGCAGATATCCAAACCATATTTGTATTGCAAAAACGAGCGATTCGTTCTGTGTACCGTCTAGGCTCTCGGGTTTCTCTCAGAGAAAAGTTTGAGGAGACTGGTATCATGACTGTGGCATCACAGTACATTTACTGAAATTTTTATATGCCCGTAAAAATATACATAATTTCAATAAGAAAGAAGATATCCATAATATTAACCTTAGAGCTAAGTCCAAACTCCTGGTACCACGATTTCGTTTAACCAAGGTAAACAACTCTTTTATAGGGAACTGTATACGTTTTTACAATAATATTCCGGAGCTTATTAAGTTTATCGTTACAAATACACTTTACATTTAGTTTACATTAAAAATATTTTGATCGAAAAATCGAATCATATTACAAAATTGAAAATTACGTGTCAGATAAAGATGTATGGAAAGACGACATGTCTCCAGAATCCACACATATTTGATTCAAAGTGCCATACATAGCATTTGAGTTTACTTGAAAAGAGCAATCCCTAGAGTTTCTTGCTCGTTCTTCTCAGGGAGGTCAGCGTAGTGAACGAGCAGTAGCTTAAATGTGACGTTTTCAAGTGTAAATTTATTTTGGAATAAATAAACTTTGACTTTGGTTCGTTCCGTGGATTAGTTTGCATAGAGTCTGGCACGGTTTGTTAGAAGACGTCGGTGCGAATCCGGCCCGATCGAAGGAATTTTTTCTAAGTGTTCGACCTTTTTAACTGCCTCCGTGGCCGATTGACATGCCGGACTGCCACGCAGAGGTCCCAGGTTCGATTCCCGGGCCGGGAGAAATATTTGTATGGCCTACATTTATTTCTCTCGTGAGGATGGATGTAATTTGTGGTTGTCTATGTGAGTGTCCATGGCACCCGCGACACAGGGTTTCCCTAGTGCGGGGCTATGTTGAGTGTGTGCGTTATTATTATTATCTTTGTATATATCTATTGTTAATATTAGAAAGTACAATAGTAAAAAAATTGCAAAAGGAAAACTAAATGTGAAAATTTTAAAAGTTCATCCACATCTAGCAAATACTTTTAGTACATTGGCTGCAATTTGATGTTTTTCCTATTGTTATTTTGTGATAAAAATCTTTCTTTGAAATCTTTAATAACATCAAAAAATTTGTAATTTTATGCTATACACAGCAAATACATTTATATTGAGTACAGAAGTAAATTCATCATCATCATATCAGCCAGAAGACGTCCACTGCTGAACATAGACCTTCTCCAAAGATTTCCACACTAGTTGATCAGACGCGACGTGCATTCACTGGTTACTCGCCGCCCTTACTAGGTCATCTGTGACCACAACTCTGTATTGTTGTGTCTGCAAAAATGTTATAATAAGTCTAATGTTATCACAAAACACACCACTCTGCAAAATGCCGGCGTGGTGCATGACCTAGACAACTTAGACTTAACGCATATTTACGGTACAGACGACGTAAATGTATCAACGGAGTATCTTATTTCGTCCTTAACAAACATTATTGGCAGAAATACACGTACCATATTGATATCTCGACGAAATAAAATTATTAAACCATGGATTACTCCGGGTCTTTTACGCTGTATAAGGCATCGTGATAAACTTCATAAAAAATTTACGAAAAACCCAGAAAATGAAGTTCTCAAAAGAACTTATTTTAGATACCGTAATTATTGTAACAATCTACTTAAGAAATTAAAACGCAAATATGAACAGACAGAAATACAAAATGCAGGTCAAAACAAGAAAAAATTATGGAAAGTCATCAAAAATATTACTAACACGAATAACATTAATTCGTCAGCACATCAGCTGATTGCAAATACAATTACCGCAGCAAGTTTAGTTAATTCCGCAAATAATTTCTTTGCTAACATTGGTCGAAATTTAGCGGAAAACTTCACAACAATAATTATCAATGTCACACCCAGCATCATTCCTGCATGGCTATTTCGCATTCTTTTGCCCTATTTGATACTGACGAATCTGAAGTAGAAAAAATTATTATGACATTGAGAAATGACTGTGCAACTGGAATTGACGAAATACCCTGTTCATTCATTAAGACATTCAAGCAACATTTAATACCTCCACTTACATATTTATTCAACCAGTGCTTTTTAAAAGGAATATTTCCCCATATTTTAAAAAAGGCCCTTATCAGACCGGTCCATAAAAATGGAGATAAGAGTTGCTTTAATAACTATCGCCCCATTGCCATACTACCGTCTATTTCTAAAATCCTAGAAAGACTTATCTATAACAGGCTAATAAAGTACTTAGAAAAGAACAGACTACTGGCACCTACACAATACGGCTTCAGAACTAACAAATCGACTGATGATGCAGTGCATGAGCTAACAGACTACATTGTAAGAAATACAGACTCAAAAAAAAAGTGCTTAGCTATATTCCTAGACCTCGCAAAGGCTTTTGATACAGTCTCAATTCCAATTCTCCTTGAAAAATTATACAGCTTAGGAATAAGAGGACATGCACATAATCTTCTAAAAAGTTATTTAACTGACAGGACTCAACGCGTTAAGATAGGTGACACTGTAAGTGAGGAACTGACCGTCGAATATGGCATCCCGCAAGGCAGCATCGTAGGACCATTGCTTTTCCTCATTTTTATTAATGATTTATGCCTCATCCCCCTACCAAACAATAGTAAAATAATATCTTATGCTGACGACACTGCTTTATTGTTTAGTGCTGAAAATTGGACTGACAGTTTCACATTAGCCCAAGCGGGCTTTGACATTGTCAATAACTGGCTTAAAAAAAACTTACTGACCCTAAATACGGAAAAAACTAAATACATGACGTTTTCCTATAACTCACTCACCCAACCGACTTTAAATTCATGTACAATATTAGCTCATAACTGTTTTGGCTCGCTATCTGAAAGTACTTGTAAATGCCCTCAACTAAGCAGTACAAACACCATTAAATATTTAGGTATAACAGTTGATAAGTATTTAAATTTCAAGGCCCATATCGAAAGTCTTACAGCTAGAGCACGAAAATTAATATATATTTTCAAAAATTTAAGACATGTCGCCAGTGAAAAGCTACTGAAAACAGTATATTTATCACTTTGTCAATCACTGTTTGTATACTGCATAACGACTTGGGGAGGCCCCCATAAAAATACTTTGCTAAATTTAGAAAGAGCACAAAGAGCCATTCTGAAAGTTAGCACTTTCCGACCTTTTCGCTTTCCCACAGCAGAACTCCTTGCTAAATGTGATGTACTTTCAATACGCCACCTATTCATACTACTAACCGTAATAAAAAAGCATTCACTAACACCATATATCCCATCACTCCAAACCAGCAAAAGACGATCAGACATTGTTTGTTCAACTGAACGGTTTCGAACTGAACACTCCCACAGATTCTTTTGCTTTCTTGGTAGCTATTTGTATAATAAAATAAATCGTTCTCTATCTATATATCCTATGAATAAGTTTCAATGTAAAAAAACCGTACAAGACTGGTTAAAAAGAATTAACTATAATGACACTGAAAATTTTATATCAGTTTTTAAGTAATATAATTATAATTAAGATTTATGTATTATTGTAATTTATTGTTATTGAACAAAATATGTTGACTACCGTTATGCTATAATCACCAATTTAGATACCTAAGACACAAATAAACAATTTTACTTAGTTTAGGTATCACCTAGATTAATTTGCACTACTAACCTTAATTAAAGTAATGTAAACATAAAATAATTTCATTGTTTGCGACAATTTGGCGCATATATGTAAATAATAGGTTATTTAATAAGATTTATGTATGTATTTAGGTTAATATTTTACACAGAAATAAATTTATCTTTATCTTATCTTTATCTTTATCTGACCATCTAGTAGGGGGCCATCCCACTGAACGCCTTCTGGTTCGTAGTCTCCATTTGATAACCTTTCTGCTCCAACAGCCATAAGTTCTACGAGTTATGTTCCCTGCCCACTGCCACTTCAACTTGCTAATCCTTTGAGCTATGTACCGACATACCGACGAAAGTTACCGAACTTTCGTTATTTTACGGATCTCCTCATTTCTGATGCATATCATATAGAGAAATTCACAAAGATCACATTGCATGTCCCATAGCTCGTTTAGTGAATTTAAGCTTTTTTATGAGGCCCATAGCAATTGACCATGTCTCAGGGCTGTAGGTAATCGCTAAATACAAAATTTATGTAAAGAAGCAATTTACAATAATAATAATAATAATAATCTTTATTTTAACATAACATAACATAATGTTGTATATTTTCTAGTGGCAGGAGTCTCCTTTTAAGCATATAATGCCTGTGCCAGGAAACTCCGCTCTTCCATTACAATTAAATTTACGTTAGGATTAAGATTAAAGTTAATAAATACAGTACTTAAAAAACAAGATTTCACATCACTTTTTACAAATCACATTTACATTTTAAGTGTATACCTCTATATCCCACTAATAATACAGTAGTGCATTAACTCAAAAAATGTAGGTTTTTTTTTTCAAATATAATGTAAATAGATGTATTATTATTAGATATCTAACCAATTTCATACTTGCCAAATACATATAAGAATAAAAGGGAAACAAATATTTCATAGCTTTCAGCAATTATTCAACTGTTGAAATTTTACATCTAGCAGTACTTTAATCTTAAATTTCGCATTTTCTGAGTCTTAGCACCACTGCAATACAGTGCGATATATTTCTTATTTAAATTTAAAGTTACTTAATTAATTTAGTGTACTTACATTTTGTATGGTTTTATATATATATATATATAGTATAGTAGTATAGTAAAGTAATTAAGTAACTTTAAAATTAAATAAGAAATATATTATAATTAGAATTGATCTAATAATCTTTATATATATGTAAAGTAGAAGTAGATCAATTCTAATAGTGAACTTGTGTTTGTGCATGACTGTGTGTGTGTGTCTGTGTGTGTGTCTGTGTGTGTGTGTGTGTGTGTGTGTGTGTGTGTGTGTGTGTGTGTGT